TGTTAACTGTTTTGAAAATGATATGTATCGTTCTTTGTTTTGTGGAATAACTTCAACTTTGTCATCATCGAGGTTTAATGCATGGACAATGAAATGAGCATCGTAGTGACTGAGGTTATGTAAAAATATTGGGATATGACGAGGGGTTCTGTACTTAGAACTACACACTTGATGTGCAACACCCCTAAAACTACCAGTGTGCCAATCAAAATCGTAAAAAAGATCTTCATTTAACTCAGTTTCACAAATATGACATATGTTTGAATTTGAAATTTTAATTTTATCTTCATCTGATAATGGAACGGGGCATTTTTGGAAACTATTTTTTTTAACTATTGCTTTCACATCTTCACAAAGGCGATTCATAAACACTTGTGCACAGTTTGACCCACTATATGTCTCATATTTTGATAATCTGTTATCATATGAACATTTAATGTAATATCCAAAACTATACACTTCATGTTTTTGAATATTAATTGTACTAGGCTTGGATGGATCGTTACTACATGATTCTATCGGATTCAAAAATGCCTCAAAGTCTGCATAAATCACAAACGGCATTTCCAACTTTTTCGCGAATTTATCAAATTTTAATTTATTATTTGAGGTTGCTTTACCAAACCAATCCTTTTTGGAATCCTCACCGTTTGGTAATTCCGTACAAATGTGAGCGCAATCATATTGTTGATGGTTATTAAGTCTTTCCTTTGATGGGAAATGAAGTAAGCATGAATCACATATATAAACTGTATGATGTTGTCTTGATATTTGTGAACTAACTAATCGCGATAAGTTTTTAATATAACAGTAATGATTGTTAGTACCATTCGATATATATAGTAGGTTAATATGATTAGGTGTACGACATTTTGATAAATATAAAGGACCTACAACAGAATTACACTTTTTTTCTTTATTATACTCTAAGCCAAAAACATTAATACTAATATTGTTTAATTTCTCTACTTTTGATATATCTGCAATTTTAACCGGAAAAGAAATACCAGTAAATTTTAGTTTATTTCCATGAATTGCGTAAGATGCTACCCGATCTACATTTTTACATACAGGATATAAACCGGAGAGTAATGCCCATTTGAAACACATATTATCATTATTTTTAACATTGATTACAGCTTTTTTTGATTTAATATCTTGAGGAAGGTTGATATATGAACTACCACGTAGGGGGTTGAATTTGTTAACATTCATATCTATGTATTTAATTTGATTAAGACTCCAACCACTATCTTTTTTTTCAAATTGACAAATTTTACCGACTACTGTGTCTATTAATGATGAATAAAAAATATTTAAGTCATCTCCCTGACATATTATGTAATTAAACGTTTGAAAATCAAACGTATTTTTAATATCTTTAGTTTGTTGTATGAAATCAGCATGCAATACGAAGTTTATTTTAAAAATTGTATGTTGTTGAATACATTCATTTATCAAAAATAAGATATCGATTTTTAATGAATTTAAAAATGATTCCGGTGTTTCAAAATATTGCCCCGATTGATGTGTTTTACTATTAATTCTATATGTTAAAATTCGATTGCCAAAAGCAGTTTCAACAACTGTAACATTTGTTAATGAATTATGTGATTTAAAAAGATTATTTTTATGTGTATTGCTTTTTAAATGGTTGTTTAAATACCTTTTCTTAATATAAACATGACATGTATCACATTCCACCTTATTGTTGTCCACGTCATTGGTTTCAATTGATGATGTAGAAGCTCCTTCATCAAATTTTGCTTTCTTGGTAACCTTATTTTCATCGGTAGTGATACCTTGTTTGATACCTCTTCCAACTTGTTGTTGACTGTAACAAAAAAGAAAATTATTACACAGATCTTAAAAAAAACATTACTACAATAATATTTCTTATTGAGTTTGTACTTCTAATACTTACATCAACGTTGTTTCAACCATCAAACATTGATTATACAACTCATCATCGTACGATGAATTGAACAGTTCACGCTTCTCTATTTCATCACAAACTTTAGACAGCTCCTGATTGAATTCACTGTTGAATTGTTCTATATTCTCCTCGATGGGTGTGGAAAAGAAAGCACTAGTGCATATTTCACTGAAGTTTTCCATCTTTATAATAAAGAAGAGTAGTATGTAGCACAGTAAATAACAGTTAAGTGTTGGTAGAGCAACTGATACCAAATTTCAAATAATGTCCAATATTTATAGTCTAGCAAAGGATCAGGAAAGTCATGTAAAAATCTAATGATTACACAGAAGTACTTTAAGTAAACAGAATCACATTCACGAATCCACTAATGAGTGTCATTGTTAAAAAAGTATTTTTTAACTTTTTCACTTTCTGCTATTGTCTTTGTAATATTGTATACGAGACCGTTTGTGTTGTCGTAGATGCTATCCTTATTATTCTTTACGTAATATTTAATCCTCGTGGTAGCGTGCTTCCAGTGATCACTAATTGGAATCTTGGATAGTTTCTTCATATCATACATTTCAATTTTTATGAGATGCGTCGCTTGGTCTCCGTCGTCAGAATTTGTAGAGATGTATGATACGCCATCTCTAGCAGCTCGTGCCACAGTCGACGATAGCTGCTTCTTCCTTTTTATTTTTGGTGTCACTTCAAAAAATTGATCAATCGGTTGCGATTTCCTTTTTCCTCCATCGTCTGTGTTATTAACGACGATGTCATCTCTCTCTTCTTCGTGTTGGGGAGAGTGGCGAGTAGTAATACTGTTTATAGGTATTTTCATTATCATCGACGAAGCTGAATGATCTCTGCAACAACAGAGTTACCACGTTAATATCAATTTGTTTACACTTAATCCGACTCACGCACACACACACGTTAGGAAAACAACAACAGAAATACAAGTAAGTTTGTCAATAGAATAAACACTTACGTCCATGATCATTGATGCGTTGAAGTAGGTAACACAAACGTAGTATTGGTAGACGTATACAATCCACTGTGGTCAAATGACCATAAACTGACTGCATGACTGCAACTGTTCGATCTTATATAGCACAATTCTTATCTCGGACGGAACTCTATGAGTCAACAAACTTATCTCACGTCGCAACAGGCATGAACATGTTTTGTGACTCCCACAAATCACTATCTTAATTACACATTAATAACACATTACTATGACCACGTTATCTAAAGTAAATTCCTAAGTACAACGGAACTCTATGAGTCAACAAACTTATCTCACGTCGCAACAGGCATGAACATGTTTTGTGACTCCCACAAATCACTATCTTAATTACACATTAATTACACATTACTATGACCACGTTATCTGAAGTAAATTCCTAAGTACAACGGAACTGTATGAGTCAACAAACTTATCTCACGTCGCAACAGGCATGAAGATCAGTATGCGATTTACAAATCACTATAATTGAACATTCCTATGACAACCATTGAATAGATTGGTACTGCAATAAACTGCTAATAACAGTGATATCATGGATACACTAGAATTAAAAAAACATATGAAAAAGATTCATCCCAGTCTAGAAAATAATGTTTATGCTGCTAATAGACTACCTATGTATACACAAGTACCAACGTATATAATATCCAATTTGGATGCGGATGATAAACCAGGCTCACACTGGGTAGCTGTACATATCGATGTGAATGGCATCGGTCAATATTTTGATTCATATGGACGAACACCTGAGCGATATCATCTTCAGTTTTTGAAAAGGAATTGTAAGAGATGGGACTGGAATGTTGATAGGATTCAGAATGATTGGACTTCAGTTTGTGGTGAATATTGCTTAATGTATTTGCTATTTAAGTTTCAAGGATGTTCAATGAATAGTTTTACGAACATATTTACAGGAAACACACTGTACAATGATATTTTTGTGGATAAGATGTTCCACTCATATTTTGTAGAAAAGTAATGAAATAAAATATTAAAAATGAACGGTTGTGTTTTATTGATGACATAGGAAATCAAACATAATGAGGGTTAATTATGTCATTAATTAATTAATGAGATAATTAATTAATAGATACAATAAATTGATTTGCAATCGATTTGCATAACTCCAGAACCACGCATCGTACGCTAAAAAGGATTGCAGAAACGTGATCAGAGCATGCCAAAACCTTTTTTTTTTTTTTTTTTTTTTTTTTTTTTTTTTTTTTTTTTTTTTTTTTAGGTTGGTGCAACTGATTCCCGGCATTCTAGGCGGTCTGGAGCCTGGAAATTCATGAGCCAGAACCGGCGAATCATCACTACTTAAGTCGCTTTGTTCATTGTTTAGGTTGATTGATACAGTAACTAATTTTAGTTAGGTGAAGTCTTTTAAATTGAAATGGGAGAATGGTATAGTATTTGTGGTAATGCGAAAATAACTCCAACTGTATGTTGCTCTTTCACGCCTAAACATCTGAATGAATTATGAACAAATTTTGTATGAAGGTAGTTTCGAGTCCTGGAAAAGCAAGGCTTTACCGCGGCAGAACTTTTCATTCGCACAAAAATCTAAAAAAAAACGCGATATAACCGAATTCTTTGCCTGTCTTAAACGGCAAAACGTTTATTACTAATTAACGTGATTTTTTACTGAAGGTAGTTAAAGGGATGGATAGTCACATAGGCTACTTTTTATCCTTTTGTGACGCGAGCGAAGGCGCGGGTAAAAGCTAGTATTTACATAAATTGAGATATAGATTTAAATCTGGAATACTCAAATTCTTAGCAGTTTAGTTAACTCGTCGAGTACCGGTTTTATAGACACAATTAAAGAACAATAGGTTGCGGTCACCGGTGACCGCTTGGTGTTTGACAGTTTAATGGTCCTTTGAGATTATGTAAAATCATTGAACGAAACAAAAATTGTTTTTTTTATAGCATAAGCATAATATCTACAACTTCGTACGCGCTACTCCGTTTTTCCCGTTCCCGTAGGATTTTCGGCAATTTTTTGAATAAAATGATGTTGTACAAATCTTCTGAAATCCTTACCTTGATCAAAATCCGCACCCTTTGTTCATCATTACTTCTGATAGAAACAAGTTCCAATGGGTCTGGATGTAATCTTTTGACGGTATATAAGACAGATCCATCAAATAAGTACCTGTTTAAAATAAATCTTATCTTTTATCCATCCTTTCTACATGTCTAAACCAGCGTAACATTCCCTTTTTAATCCTTGTCACTACATCATTTTTCAATCCACACTTTTCTCTAATGATACTATTTTTCACTCGATCACTCAATTTTAATCCATTTATCCATCCATCTCAATTTATAATTAATTCATATTATATGATAAAAATAAGACAAAATAATCATTTACCCGCCAAACGTTTTCGCGTGAACGCGCATTAGTCCCTTCCGAACGGCAGTACTGTCTTCATCTGGTGAAAAATCTACATGGTACTGGTATAAACACCATCTTGGTGTTGTCTCCACAGTGAAATAGTTTGCTTTGATACTTATAGCTGTTCCCTCGTCACCTATAAAAGACAAGATACAGAATGAAAATAGCTTTTTATCGAATTCCAAAAAAGGATGCGGTAGTATGTTTTTCTTTTATTTGTTGTACTTCGCCAATTGTAAACCGATTTTCAAAATTATAATGTTTGAGGTCCGAATCGGATGTTGGAATTCTAAGGAACAGAGTGGATCTTTCGAAAATTGCAGAGGCGAGAAATGCATCTATTGTGTTTTCCAATAAAAAAATTTAAACACTACAATTTTATAAGGGTCTGGAGTCTGGAGATGATGTTTATTGTATGTAGATGACTGAGCTTTGCTTGGTGTTTTTTCTGTAGATTATATTAATTTAATACCTTTTTTAGTTTCGATGTGATCTGGCCTGGTACGTAAAACATTAGTTGGACGTGAGTCACTTCCAGATTCAGTACCAGCAGTTTGTTTTTTGCCTAAAAATGCATAAAACTATAATTTAAAAATGCATCAAAATTATTAAAATGATTTTTATAATTAATTTATATTTTTTACTAAACAGGTCATTTATATGCATTGATTATAATTTCTGTTGTATATCTACATTACCAGGATGTTGTTCACGGACTGCTGGTGCTGCTCTATGCTCAGCTTTGCTTGCTTGAAGACTGGGCCCCTCCACCTCTGCAGGACCAGGACAGACTGGAGATTGAATACTGGTTGGTGGCTTTAGTGGATTAGGTCCGGCAGCTGATGGGCTCTGTAGACCAGATCTTTCAGCAGGTGGACATTTTAGACCAGGTCCTGTGGTTGCGAAGCTTTTCGGACCAGGTCCGGCAGCTGATCGGATTTGTAGACCAGATCTTTCAGCAGGTGGGCTTTTTAGACTAAGTCCTTCAATTGATAAGCTTCTTGGACCAGGTCCTGCGGCTGGTGGACTTTTTGGACCAGGTCCTGCGGCTGGTGGACTTTTTGGACCAGGTCCTGCGGCTGGTGGACTTTTTGGACCAGGTCCTGCGGCTGGTGGACTTTTTGGACCAGGTCCTGCGGCTGGTGGACTTTTTGGACCAGGTCGTGCGGCTGGTGGACTTTTTGGATCAGCTCCTGCGGTAGGTGGATTTTTTGAACCAGGTCTTGTTCCTGAGGGACCTGGTTGCGGGGTGGAACTGGACTCAACTGGAGAAGGGGCAGCTTTTTTGCCCCCTTTACCTTTACGACGACCCATGTTCTAAAGACACAAATAAATATGTTAGCACTGATATATTTGTGCAAGCATAATCGGAAAGTCATAAGAATAATTAAGAGTGGAGGTACTTTTAAAAATTTTCATGTGATGTAATTTCCCATTATTCCATGATAATTTTATAGTTTTTATAATATCATTATATATTTTACACAGAAAAATGACCAGGTACCTAAAAGAGGCCATACACGCTAGGGTTGGCATGATGGTTATAACTTCGCATGCAAACTGACAAACATAACCGAGCACCGATGTACCGATAACTGTACAGTTTAATCACATAAACGCTAGGGCTTGCCTGTCGGTTATGTTTGCACGGCAAAAACCATCATGTGAAACCTAGCATAAAATAAATATTGCACAATCAGTTAAAAACTTATTGTAAGTAATCAATACCATAAAATTATAATAAACCTTTATACTATAATAATAGAAAGGGTCATAGCATTTAAAAAGTTCCAAACACAAATAAGTAAGTTTAATGAGTATGTAAAATCAAAATGATTGTAGTTAATAAATTTACTGATCGAACTAACATTTTAAATGTAGGTATATTTTTTTGTCTCTAAAATGTATGTGAAAATAATTGATAGAAAAAGCACCATGAGTAAAACAGTGAATAATGTTCTAGTAGTATTAGGTTTATTTAAATTAATACATCAGAATACTTACCAAGATTTGCGTCTGACTGCCCGGACAACAGGATGTAAAAGAAAGAAACTGAACCTAAGTCTGACGACGTCGACTTACTGCAAAAGAAGGTATTTTTAAAACTACGGAACTTAAGTGACCGGAAATAGTTCAACGGGTTTAACCAACTAAACGACGCAGCAACTACCCGACTTGGCCACTTATGTAAGTCTTTTCTCAGCAAATTTAATTTAACCCGCATTTTATCCATAACGTTGGTTGGTTCGATTTTTGTTGGCTGAGTCTCTGAAAGTCTGAATCTCAATGTTTGTATTTTTGTATGTGATAGAATGTCAATGTCAAAAGTCACTGACTTTGACAGATTGCCCGTGTAACTGTCATAATATGGGAAAGAAGTTTGGGTACGAGTATTTTTATACTTAATTTGTACTTTTGCTTACCAAAAGTTAATTCTCATAAGATATAATTCTCGTAATATATATTTACGATTTGTCTATTTAATCCTTACTAATATTATAAATCAGAAAGTGAGTTTGTTTGTTTGTTCCGCTTTCACACCGTAACTACTAAAACGATTGCTTTGAATTTTTGCAGATGTAAAGTTAGAATCCGGATTAAATAATAGGGTACTTTTTATCCCGGAAAAATTGATATTCTCGAGGGAAAACGTAATTATTGGTATAGATGGCGCAGTGTGTATTGGTATATGTCATATAGGCTACTTTTATCCTTTTGTGATGCGAGCGAAGCTGCGGGTAAAAGCTAGTGATGAAAATATATGAGGGCGCTATAGTCGTTCACATAGCAATCCCAACAGCGCGATGATGGTACTTACGCAATATTTTCGCAAGTGTTTTACACTTGAAATAAACATGAATTACCGAAAACATTTGACCGACGTATTTTAAATCAAGGAAACAGACGATTATTAGATCTTTATAAAATGCCGAAATCATACATTTATTTTATGGTCTAGGTCGTTCAAATAAAAAAAGATGTGATCATAATCAAAGGCTAACAAAATAATTTTATAGTTAGCTAATTATTGTTCGTAACACAGCACACAACCAGCAAAATCATGTCAAACTGAAATCATTGATATTAATTAGACCAATACAAGTCACTTTTGAATAGCCAATATAAAATTTTCCGCATTGTAAAAGACCAGAATAGAATTGTAATTTCTGTGTTGTCTGACGAAATGCCCAGTATCGAAATATTATATACAAGACAAAGGAACCACAGACATACAAGGAAAAGCAGACTAAACCACCTAAAATTATAATTAACTTGGCACAGCGTATGAATGTGGTTTATGGTGCTAAAGCCTTTTCGGAACCCGGTTTGTTGCGGAGGCTGGAAGTCATCATCAAACCTGCGTTCGAGATGGTTCGTGATGACCCTCGAAAACAGCTTAAATAATTGGATCAGAAGGGAGATGGGTCTATAGTTCTTCAATTCGGAGTTGTAACCCTTCTTGAACGCCCACGCAGGGCATTCCGTGTTTTCCGCCGTGTCCTCAGGGCGATCCTCACAGTGATGACCCCCCGGTTGTTTCCTCCCGCCCTATCAGACACAGGTACCTCCCGAAGCTCTCATACCCGGTGAGGACCTGTGTTAGGAGGTAGGTGAAGACGCAGCAGTGTCTCTCAAACCTCTTGAGGAGTGGCAGCGAGTCCGTTACCGCTGCATTGGCAGCGAGTCCAGCCCTCGGTTGCGACAGTCGTTGCTGCCATTCCGCGAACAAAAACAAAAAAGCAAATATATAAACGGTTGTTGGTATGGTATGGTTTTTTTTGTGTATATTACCTGATTACTCCGGTGTTTGTGGACGGATTTTGATAATTCTTTTTTTGTTGGAAAGGTCATTCGGGATCCCATGGAAACCGAGGGGAACTTTTCAAAATTGTAGGTATGTGTCGAGAGTGTTTGTTAATTTTTTGATATAATATTTGAAACTACTACAATTTGATGAATGTATGGAGTTGATCTGATGATGGAGTCAAGAGACAGCCGAGGGAACTCCTCGAGAATTTGTAGCAATGACCCTGTTTTTGAGCTTAACTCGTCGAGTACCGGTTTTATAGACACAATTAAAGAACAATAGGTCGCGGTCACCGGTGACCGCTTGGTGTTTGACAGTTTAAATTATTTGTATTGAGAAGATCTTTTTAAATAGATATGATGTAATTGTCATTAGGGGACTGATGATGAAGTAGTATGATAGCTAAGGGAACTCCTCAACGGTTAACAGTAGCTACCTGGTGTTTGGGCTTGATTAATTTTTAGTGATGAGAACTTTACACCTAAATGGGGTATGACTGTCTTTAGGGGCCTGATGATGAAGGATTATGATAGCCACGGGAAATTCTCAACGGCTGGCTGTAGCTACTTGGTGTTTGGGTAATATCAATCTGTTTTGATGAGAACTTTACACCTAAATGGGGTGTGATTAGGGGCCTAATGAATAAGTAGTACGATAGCCAAGTAAGGGTACTCATAAATAATTAATAGCTAGATACTATTAACCGTTTCCCTGGTGTTTGAGTTTTGATGAGAACTTTACATCCATGTAGGATATACGTAGTATACTGGGTCCATATAGCCTTGATTAAACTAAAAAGCTTAAAATAAAAACTGCATTTCAAAAAAACTGACTTCGAAAACCATAACCTAAAAACAAGCAAAAGGTCAAATATAAAAAGCAAAAAATAACTATTATTAGTCATACGCACTTATAGGTTACCCACCCATTGATAGGTTAGAAGTCGGTACCACAAACCCATAACAAAATTTATATATATACTTAGGTTAAGTATGTTTATATCCTGTCATAAAATTGTACACAGCTTAAGTAATCTAAGGTACCTATTTGTTATAAAGAATAACTTTTGTTTAAAACTTTTGGCACCGACTTCTCACCTAACAGTGGGTGGGTAACCTTTATTTTATTGCTATTTTTTTGCTTGTTTTTAGGTTTTGGTTTCGAAATCGGTTTTTTTAAACGCAGTTTTTGTTTTTATTTTATTATATAAACTACTGTGAGACTAACTGAGAACGAAATATCGCTGGTTACTCACGTGAATATATTGAGAAAAGCTCTACTAGTTTCGAGCCACAGAGGGACTTTTCCTCATGTGCAGCGTGTGCGGTCGCGGCAATGCCTACTGACTTAGTAGTCTGCGCGAAATTGCCACGATGATATAAGATTATAATTTATTGAATTTGGTCCTTATAAAGCAATTTTAAAATAATTTCATTGCTTCTATTTAATGAGTTTATCAAAGCTTTCTTTGAATTAGACTTTTTTTAGACAAAGGAACTTATTTTTATCGTTTCTAGCGCTTCTTTGTCGTGCCGATAGCTTAAAATGTTAGTATTGTACCTATTAAATTCCTTTTTAATGTTACCGTCTGAATTCTTACAGTACCTACTACGTTTTCACACGATTGAGAAACTTGACAAGAAAAACGGCTCTAATGTGGTTTTGATGTTATCGAAAGAGCTATAAAAGCACCAATGTATTTTTCAATAGAAATTAATGGTGGTGTGACCGCGTGACGAATAGCCACTGGCATGGTTGAGTTTTTCATCACGAGGGTGGTCTTTGGCTAACTGGGAAGGCAAATAGTCAAAATACATACCTACATAGACGGTACAAGTAAGTATAAAGTTAAGTGAACTATAATAGGTGCATTAAAGTTACTATATAGGTACATACTTTAGAATCTATTCTATTAGGTTTCACTTCGATGTTGATTATAATAATAATAATTCATTTCTATTCACACCAAAAAGTTCTACATAAATATTCATTTATTCAAATAAAAAAACTTAAATTAAAAACTAACTATTACTTAAAAAAAATTAAAACTAAATATTACTAAATTAAAGATATACACTTAAGATTAAAATTAATTATAAGAAAAAACAAAAACAACTATTTACATAAAGCGTCGAAAAATTCGTCCGCATCGACGTCAGTGGGGAAAGTAATAATAATGGTAACGTTTATAGGTAACCATGAACAGACTAAATCGATCACCAGGGAGTTTCTCTCTATTCTGCAAACCTATCACAATCTAAAAAAACATTGTTTCCCTCCTAGAACTAGCTACTTAGCTAGGTACCTACATATTTGTTTGTTTACTTGTTTTTGTGTCATCATTTAAGAATATTTAGTAAAATGAGGGATCGATATCGTGGAGAGAATAAAGAGAAGAGGTTTTAAGTGTTGTTTGCTAACGGCTAATGGAAGGGGGCTATATTGCATCGATGGCTCAGGCTCAGTGCAGCAGTGGCTCAGGGCAGTTCGCAGTTGTTAAAGATTGTGTTAGGAATACATAAATAGGTTCGTCACAAAGTAGGTATAATCACACTGTGTTTCAGAATGTGTGTGTGATGTTATGTGTTACTAATAAGTAGTTATATTTCTATTTACTACCTTCGGAGACATACCAAGCCGTTATTGTTGATTAACAATTTCTATCATCAAAAACTCCTAAACTAGAGCCATGCACTTTGGTACAGTTCAAATTTGGTTAAATAATCTAAGGTTCAAATGCTTTAAATGAAAGAAAGCGAGAAAAACTTTGAAACTGAAACTGGCAATAAAATTAAATAGGCGAGTCTTTTTAATATTGTTTCAAATTACCTACGTTTTATCTGGTATTTTTATTATAAGTACGTAGGTACGTACCTACTCGTTTTCTTTTGGAAACAAGAAACCGGCACGCTCCCTTTAAGAATTTAAATAAAACTTATTGGGTTATTTAAATTCTTAAAAGAATATTCCGATTCCTTCTCATTTTATTTCGGAAGTTTTGAGTGAGTTGCTTTATTTGTTTGTGAATAAGATAGTAACCGTATTTCTTCATAAGATTTTACTTAGAAAAAATATTTTTCCTGTTGATAATACAATAATGGTAAGTAGGTTACATCAAACAAATGGTAACGTATTCTTTAATAGTAAAAAAAATAAGTATTTTACTTAAAAATATTTTAGTTATAATAGGCTAGGCCTATTTTAATATATACTAGCACACAATTCTATGTTAACGAGCACTATATATTATTATGCTGTGACTGTAACCTTATTTCAATAGAACTTTTCAATCTGCCCTAAACAATAAGGACGTAGAGCGAATCACCGCGTAATATTAATTAAAATCTATTCCCTCCGAAGCTACCCCTTAATTAAGTGCTAGTAGAGTTTTGTACGTACCCTTCCCCCGGGAGCCGAGTGACACCGAGCCGCATAAAACATTCATACCCTAAAACCGGTTAATAGCC